AAGAGTTGGAAATGTATTGTCTTTAATGAGACAGACTGGGGCAGTCAGGGTAGGAATGTATAATAAAAAAGCAGGCTGCTGTTTTTCTCTTTTTTGAGATGGAGTCTCGCTCTGTTGCCCAGGCTGGAGTGCAGTTGCATGATCTCAGCTCACTACAACTTCCACCTCCTGGGTTCAAGCGATTCTCCTGCCTCAGCCTCCCAAGTAGCTGGGACTATGGGCACCTGCCACTATGCCCAGTTAATTTTTGTATTTTTAGTTAAGATGGGGTTTTACCATGTTGGGCAGGCTAGTCTTGAACTCTTGACCTCAAGTGATCTGCCCTCCTCAGCCTCCCAAAGTGCTGGGATTACAGGTGTGAGCCACCACGCCTGGCCTGGGCCGCTGTTTTTCAATATAAGCTTTATAATACTATGATTTCAAACACACAAATACTGCTATATTCAGGATATATATGGTGATTATCAGAGACCAACCCTCAACTATTAGAACAAGACATCAAGAAATACTTTTACAGTTTGATGTATCACAAAATGACAAAACATACTATTCAAAATTTATGTAGGTAACAGGACATACAAATTTCATTTGTATTGTAGTTTGTACTATTTTGATATCTTTTGATAATACTATGATTTCAAAATATATTACTTTAATGAAAATTAAATTAATTATTTTAAAATGAAAAAGGAATAAACAGAGACCACCTTTCAAGCAGAAAGGTACAAGGTTAAGGTAAGATTAAGAAGAGGACAAATTAGCAAGTTGGTAGGGAGGAAAAGTGGTAGGAGAGACAGAAATAAAATACGTAAAGGCAGCTAAGATCAGTTGATAGCTGGGAAAAAGTGAAGATTCACAAACTCCTGCCTAGGTTGCTACAGCTTTGTTAAATCTAGAATTATTTCTCAAGGGAGGCATGGATCTTCTATTTCCAACGCTAACTCCATAGGTAACAACATGTACTTCTAGGGCTCCAACCATTAACTTCTACTTGGATCAATTTCTACTTCCATATTTTTGACTGTTTTACAACTTTCTTCTGAGCTTCCTATTTGATCTTCTCATTGATGAATCTACTTTGTAGAAATTATTTACAGCAATGTCCCAGCTCCTACATTAGATGATGTTTCTTAATAAGCCTACATATTTTATAAACTATACAGCACCTAGCAGACTACTATACAAAATTAGAGTCAAACATTTTTACAAGACTTGTTATCTAAAAATCTTAATTCTCCATAAACTAATAGTAATATGCTAATGAAAAATATAACTTGGCATTTTGATTAAGTTTGAAATAACTCTATATAAGCTAATTCTAATTTTTTTTTTTAAGACCAAGTTTTGCTCTTGTCCCCCAGGGGAGTGTGGGTAACACCCCCTATCGGCACCAAGGAAGGAGAACTGTCCAGACCCCAGGCACAATTAGTGCCTGAAGAATATCTTAGTTTATAGTGTTATTACTCAGCTATTTCCTTTATATAATCTTTTATATATAATCATATATTAGTTTATAGAATTAGTGCCTGAAGTATAACTTATTGCTTACATATATCTAGCTTATATAATCATACTTAATACTTCTATCTAGCATACTTAGTTCTATATAATCTTTCTATATAATCATATAGGTATTGTAGTCGGAGCTATACTGACATATTTAGTGCTGATTTATATAATCCTTCCATATAACCAGTATAGTAGTTTGTAGTAGGAGGAATGCCTAGAGCAGTCACAGAACAGAAGCAGTACATGGGAAAACAGCCAGACCAGGACAAGAACCAAAGACCCAGGCAGTGGCGTCCCTGCCTGAAAGGGCATAAGCTGTATGGCAGGCTTGGAGCAAGACCCTCTCCTCCTGATAAACGAGTTGTAGTACCTTGCATTCAGTTCCTATGGAAAGTAGGCCTCATGCCTGAGATCCTGGAAATAACTGAGGGAGAAGAACCCCTCTGGCGTGACCAGTCACAGAGGCTGTACACCCTGTCAGTCTTTTCTCACTTCTGTGCTAGCTCAAATCATCCTCCCATAAATATCTTAAGAGGAGAGCACAAGTCTGTCAGCTCCCACTGCACTGGCTTATAGCATCCTTCTATGAGAAATCCTTTGACGTCGCCAGTCCCCAGATAAGTGTTGCACACGACACCTGTTGCACACAGCCCAACTCCCTGCCTTGGTGACCTAATGGGGGTGGACCCCTTTTCTGTACACGACCCTCTACTACCATGCATGGCACAGCCCCCTACTGCGCATGGCCCACCTCTCTGCCCAGGTGACATAATAGGGTGGCCCCCTTGCTTGTAACTCACGAGATTATGTATGCCCTATTACTAAGCCTATAGATGATGACCTCACTCACAACCCTGCCCCCTGCTTGTACCTAATAAATACAGATGCTTCTGGGCATTTGGGGCTTTCGCTGATCTCTGCTCACAGGTTGCATGGCCCCCCGAGTCCAGCTGCTCTTCACCAGTTCTTCAGTGTCCTGTCTCTTTACTTCTCGGATCCTGCACCTCAGCAGAGCATAAGGGACAGCCCATGACCCTGTGGGGCCCAACAGCCCTACACAGGAGTGCAAGGGCACAATCTTGGCTCAATGCAACCTCGCCTCCCAGGTTCAAGCGATTCTCCTGCATCAGCCTCTCCAGCAGCTGGGATTACAGGCACCTGCCACCAATCCCAGCTAATTTTTGTATTTTTAGTAGAGACGGGGTTTCACCATGTTGTTGTCCAGGCTGGTCTCTAACTCCTGACCTCAGATATCCATCCCCCTTGGCCTCCCAAAGTGCCAGGATTATAGGTGTGAGCCACTGTGACCAGCCTAATCCGAAAATTTATAATGAAAATGCAAAGGACTAAGAAGCAGCAGGAGAACTTGCTCTACTAGATAAGATTTATTACATGCCACAGTATTAATATAGTGCGGTACTGGCACAAGGATAGACAAATAAGCCAAAGGAACAGAAATCAGAGAGACTCACAGACACATGATTTATGACAAAGGTAGTCCTACAGAGAATGGGAAGAGGACAGTCATCTTAATAAATACTAAGAAGTCAACTGGATATTCACATGGAAAAAAAATGAAATTTGACCCCTACCTCACAACACATACAAATACCAACTTCAGGAAACTAGATCTAAATGGAAAAAGTAAAACAATAAAGCTACTAGAATATAACATAGGAAATATCTTCATGACCTTTGGGTAGGCAATCATTCCTACCCAGGACTCAAAAAAGCAACACTATAAAGAAAAAGTAAGTGTGACCACATTAAAATTAATAATTTCTGTTCATCAAAAGACACCATTAAAAGAATAAAAGGCAAGATATAAAGTGGTGGGAGATATTTACATCCTGTATAACCAAACACAGAGCTAATATATAGAATATAAAAAGAATTCTTTCAAAGCAATTAAAAAAAAAAAAAGACGACCAACTAAGTTTAGCCAAGAAACTTAAACAGGCATGTCACAGAACACACATATCAGAGTAACTAAAATTTAACTAAAATTAACAGGTTGGGCAATAATAAGAACTGGTAAGAATGTAAGAATGCAGAGCAATAGCAACTTTCATGCTGCTAGTAGAACTAGCAACTAGCAGTACAACTACTTTGGAAAATTGGTATATTTACTAAAGCTGAACACACACATATCCTATTGCTCAGTAATTCCACTCCTATGTACATACCCAAAAGAAATGTGTACACACATTTACCAAGTCACATACAGGAACCTTCACAGCAGCATTATATGTAATACCTAAAAACTGCCAACAACCAGCTGTCAACAGTAGAAAAGACAATTTACGGTAATTAATAATATATAAAGCATAATTTAAAACATATTCATAGAATGAAGCAGGGTGCGGTAGCTCATGCCTGTAATCCCAGCACATTGAGAGGCCAAGGTGCGTGGATCACCTGAGGTCAGGAGTTTGAGACCAGCCTGGGCAACATGGTGAAACCCTGTCTCTACTAAAAATACAAAAAATTTGCTGGGCATGGTGGCGCAGGCCTGTAGTCCCAGCTACTCGGGAGGCTGAGACTGGAGAATTGCTTGAATCTGAGAGATGGAGGTTGCAGTGAGCCGAGATCACACCACTGCACTCCAGCCTGGGCAACAGAGCAAGACTCTATCTCAAAAAAAAAAAAATTATACATATATATGTGTATGTGTATATATATATATATATATATATTCATAGAATGAAATACAGCATAGCCAATAATAATGAACTAACACCAGATATGTGCAACATCATAGATATGTCTCATAAACATAATGTTGAACAAAAAAAGCCAAAGACAAAAGACTAAATACTGTGTGATTGCATCTATATAAAGTTCAACAATAGGCAAAACAAATCCATGGTGCTAAATGTCAGGATGGTATTTATTTTGGGAGAGGAAAAAGAGGCTGGTGATTGGGAAGGAGCAGAAAAGGGGTTCTGAGGTGCTAGTAATGTTCTATTTCTTGTCCTGAGTAGTGGTTTCACCATTCTCAATTTCACCATGCTATGCAATCATAGTCGTTATACTTCAATTTTTTTTAAAGTAAAAAGTAATCAAATGTTTGATAAATGAAAGAAAGAACTATTAAATCCAATATGAACTGGTCAAAGATATTAAATAATTGAAAGCAGATAAAATGAAAACAAATATAGGGAAGGAAAAAGAAAAGACACACACATACACACACAAACACACACACACTTACACTCATCTATTTCTTAGGGTGGAAATGTCTACTTTCATACCAGTCTAAATGTAGCATATCATAGAAGGAATGAAACCTAAAATGTGAGTAAAATAATTATAGCATAATTACAGTCAGGAAGGTACTTGCTATATCGGACTAGGGAGAAAGGATAAGGACAAAAAGGTAGGATAGCTTATATGGAAGAGGCCTCAGGCCTTTAAAGAGAACTTCTTGATAAAATCTCAGATGTATATCTCCTCATAGCCCTGCGCCTGAGCCATCATCTCTTACTTACCTGAACATAGGCCTCTAGTCAACTCTCTGTCAACCAGCCAGGGCTCTCTTCCTTGTTCCAATAAGGAGATCACAGCTGGCTTAGAACTGGAAAGTCCTGCTCACAAGAAAAGACATGAGACATGGTTATACTTTGGGTTCTCCAGATATCAGATCCAGTCTCTTGGTGATCAAAGAAGAGATGCCATTACAAGAAGGACCAGAGAAAGATGGAGAAGATGAAGTTTCAGCCACAGTCCATTAGAGCTGCCCACTTCCAACTCTTCCATTCCATTCCAACTCAAACCATTCCTTGGGGAACAGGGAGCAGAAATTCAGCTGGTTACATGAAGCAAATAATTCACAATGGAGAAAGGAGAGATTTTCCAAGGGCAGACTCTGAATTTTGGGGGATAGTTATCCTTACCCACTGAAACCAGGTTGCTGAAATTCTCTAACATCACTTCTTTGTATAAATTCATCTGACCAGAGTCCAGGTATTCCCATTCCTCTTGAGAGAAGTCTATGGACACATCCCTGAACATCACTGACCCCTGAAACAACAAATATGCTTTCACAATGAAAGGAAAAATGACAAAGATGGTGGTAGAGGTAACAGAAGCCTCTGCAAGAAAGGCCAGAGTAAGCAAATTAAAGGAGGTGGATCCTATCATATCAGAAGACATATACATCCTGTGTACAAGGGATGTACAAATAGACTGCACTTTTCCAGTGATAAGAAATAGTAAGCATTCAGCTCTATTAGTGAGTTTCTTCCCCCTCCCCCTTTATAAGTCCCAAGAGAGGGGAAAATGGGAGGGACTTTCAAACACGTCTTGTAATACATGGAGTAAAAATTCACAACATCAGAGGAAAACAAAAATAAACATTTCTAAAAGCTTCCAGGAAGAAAACAAAGATCACCTAAGTTTTCAGGAATCACAATGGCAATAGACTTCTCAATAGCATCATTTGAAATAAGAAAAAAAGAAAGCAATTCCTTTAATACTATAAAGGAAACCGATTTCTTACCTAAAATTCTATATCCAATCAAATTACTAAACCACTATGGAGATTAAATCAAGACAATTTTAGATCTGCAGGGAATAATAAAAGTATTTCCAATGTGGCTTTTCTTAGGGCTACGTTTTCCGTCAAAACTAGAGAATATATTTTCTCATAACGCAAAAAAAAAAAAAAAAAAACTAGACAGTAAATTAGAAAAAAGAGAAGGTCTTATATTAAGAAACTGGAAAACTAACATGAAAATGGTGATCCAAGTGCCAGGATAATTATAAAAGGCAAATCCTAGAACATTATCTGACAGCAGAGTGAGAGAACAGTGTCTAGGAACACAAGACGTGAGGACTACAGGAAAGACGTCTCCAAAGAAAAGTAAGGAGCTAGTATGTTTGATCATGTAGAAAACATTGATAGGCAACTGACAGCAATGTTAGAGAATTTGAAAAAAAAAAAAATAGTGACACATACATAAAGCCAGGCAAAAAAAGAAACAAGGCAATTTGCTCTGAGAAAAATACAAATTGTACTAGAAAAAATCCAGGATCTGGTTACTTGGCTCACAATAACAATATCTGCAAAGTCCTAATCACAGGGATAGCAATAATGTAAAGAAAAATTGTCATATAATTCTATTGCATGGACAAAAAATGAGGACTGTGGTATGGGAAATCTCAATCCATATTTGCCCGCCTAAAAATCACTAGAAAATATGCATCCAAAAATAGCAATATAGAAATATTAATTAGAAATATAGGAAAAATGCCAAGAGAAACAGCAAAAAGAGTTTAAAGTAGCCATTTAAGGGGAGTAGGATTGGATAGTAGAATAATGCCCTGCCATTTTTCAGGTCTTTTAACATTTCTTGAATTTTTGGTTTTTTTTTTTTTTTGAGATGGAGTTTCACTCTTGTCGCCCAGGCTGGAATGCAGTGGCACACTCTCAGCTCACCGCAACCTCCACCTCCCAGGTTCAAGCAATTCACCTGCCTCAGAGCTGTGATTAGAAGTGCTGGTCACAACCCCCAGCTAATTTTTGTATTTTTAGTACAGACAGGGTTTCACCATGCTGGCCAGGTTGATCTTGAACTCCTGACCTCAATTGATCTGCCCATCTCTTCCCAAAGTCCTGGGATTATAGGCACGACCAGCTGGGACTGAGGCTCCTAACCAATGGTGTCTGTGTTAACTCTAGGTAGTGTCCGAATTTAACTGAATTGTAGGATACTCAGGTAGTGTCTCAAGAATTGGTTGTTTAAAAAAGGACACACATTCCCAATGGATAGGAGAAATGAGGGTACCTATCCTTCACCTTAGGACAAGCAGGCTCCAGGGTACAAAGTGGAATGATGACATACTTTGGAATAATTTTTGCTATGTTCTCTGGAGCTTAGGGGGCACAAAGACTGGTACCTATTCCCCCCTTTGGACTATATGTGGACCCCATAAAGGGACAAAGTGACTTCAACAAAGGAAGGGATCAAGAATGCAAAAATGTGTGACACATATCATAAGTAGCCATTTCAAGGAGACATGCTGCATATATCCCAGGAAATGCAATTAGAGGTTTCCAACAAGAGCTTCTCTGAGAAACCCTAATGGGGTTCAACCCTCATAAAGGAGTGTTGAACATCCATCAAGGCAAAGGAGACCAACACCAAAGCAAGTCAAGAAAGACTTTTCTTTTCCTTACCTCCTCTTCCCTATCCCTATTCTAATCTCATAGGATCCAGAAACTATTAGGCAGGAGAAATAGAGGCTCAGAGCGAGGAAATCAAGAAGCTTAATATGTTCCTCTTTCATACTGCAAGCTTGAAGCAAGCCTGAGCTCACAGAAGAAACTTTAAATGAAACTCACATATTATTACACTGAACCAGAGGTTGTAATTAGTAAAATGAGACTGAGATTGTGACTGAAAACAATCAAAGGATATCAAAGAGTGATCAAAAAATTATAGTCTGTACAAGTTTTTATCTAGGGCAACAAAACAGTTAACCCACAGAGAGGGTTGAGAGTAGAAATTATGAGGGAAAAAAATTTTCTTTTGCTTGCTTCATATGGAATCCTGCTTATTTCAAAATGCTGATTATAAGCAGATTTGGTTTCTCAGGTACACAGTCATATCATCTATAAAGTGATAATCTTATGCTCTCTTTTGTAATTTTTAACCTAATTTTTTTCTTATGTAAGTGTTTTGGTTAATATCTCTAAAACAATGTTAAATGACACCAGTAATGTGGTATCTTTGTTTTACTTCTGATTTTCAAATATTTTCATGTTTCAAATATTTCCCTATTAAATATGAGGTTAACTTATGAAAACAAAATATATTCCTTTTAAATTGTATTGTCTACGACAGTATACCACACACCTCTAGTTATTCCCATTAATATTGGGCAACAATCTTCCCTATAGAAATGATGAGGGTAACTAGAGACTGAAGGGAGAGGGGAACCAGATTTTCTATTTGGGCTTTGGTACGGGAGAGGGAAGACTCAGTCCTCTTTAAAAGAAATTCAGATAGAAAGGCCTTACACAAAATAGGTTTGTTAGATTTATTCTTATCCTAATTTTCTTTGCATCTGTACCAAACACATACAGTTTAAAAATTGAGAGTAGGCCCATTCAGAGTTCCAAATTTACACCTTAAGAAAACACTGTCCCTATTCTGAGTCCTCTATCCTAACATGTATCCTCTAATTTTCAGATGAAGAGATCATCTAGTAAATGGATAACCTTATAATTTAGTGAGTTCCCCAAGATTAAAAGTGTTGAAACACAATTGAATAAAGGTATTTTTATTATCACTTGGAGGAAGAATCCAAAAATTCTAGTTGCCTGCCATGCCCACTGCCCCTCCTGAGATGAGGCAAGGTTCTTTTTTATCATAAAGGGATAAGACACAGAAAAGAACAAGAAATTCTAACCTATAAACGTTTAGTTAGAACCTGACAAGGAAAGGGAGAAAGAGTGATAGTGGGGGCTTTTTAAAGGGATAATGAGCGAAGATTTTCCTGAACTAATAATATATATTCATCCATAAATTTTAAAACTCTACAAATCCCAAGCAGATAAATAAAACACATATATGCATCTTTTTTTTTTTTTTTTTTTTGGGACAGAGTTTCGCTCATGTTACCCAGGCTGGAGTGCAATGGCACGATCTCGGCTCACCGCAACCTCTGCCTCCTGGGTTCAGGCAATTCTCCTGCCTCAGCCTCCCGAGTAGCTGGGATTACAGGCACGCGCCACCATGCCCAGCTAATGTTTTGTATTTTTGGTAGAAACGGGGTTTCACCGTGTTGACCAGGATGGTCTCGATCTGTTGACCTCGTGATCAACCCGCCTCGGCCTCCCAAAGTGCTGGGATTACAGGCTTGAGCCACCGCGCCCGGCCACACATATATATATCTTATGCTAAAATTACAGAAAGCCAAAAACAGAACGGTCAGAGGAAGACAAGACATTACCATCAAAGGAGAAGAGCTAAATCAAGACTGTATGATACTGGCATAGGAATATACAAAATCAATGGAAGAGAAAAAGAATTCATAAATATACCCATGCACATATAGACACTAGGTATATTTGACGACCAATGAAAATACAATGGATCTTCCAATATATGGTACTGAAAAAACTGGGTACTAATAAGGAGGGGGAGAATCTGACCCCTACCTCATAACATACACAAAAACCAGTTGCAAGTATATTAAATATCTAAACATGAAAGTGAAACTTATGCTTTAAGCATAAACATAAGAGAGTATCTGCATGACCTTGGGACAGGGAAGGATTTATTAAATAAGATACAAAAAGCGCTAACCATTAAGGAAAAATATTGATAAACTCAGCCTTTAAAAAATAGAACTTATCATAAAATCATCTTACAGGAAGTGATGAAACAGTCCAAATAGTAGGAAAACATAATCAATAAAGGACTGAGACCCAGATTACATAAATAACTCATATGAATCAGTAAGAGCTATTCTAAGAGAAATGTGAGTGAAGATTTGAACGGATATGTCACTAAAGATGAAACGCTAAAAACTGATAAACATGGAATATGTTCAATTTTATTATTAATCATGGAAACCCAAATTCAAACCTGTGGGGGTGGGGGTTGTGAGGACAGATATATATTCAAATAAGGATTTAAAAGTCTGGCACGTCTGATTTGAAAATAAGTATGCACCATAATTTTTTCAAACATAGAAAAATGTATTTCCCAAGACCATCTGAAGACATCGCAGAATATTTATGACACGTTTTTAGTAAAAATGTAGAACATAAAATGGTAAGTAAATTAAGTAAAATTTGGTTTTTGAAAATACATTAAAATATTAACACTAATTATTTGAATGGCCAAATTTTATTTTTTCTTGGTAATGCTGTGTTTTTAAGATCTCAAAATTAATCATCCTTTTATTTTTAAATCATAATAAATATTTGAGAAGAAAATTCAGCAAGCACAAGTGGCACAACCATCCTTTTCTGTGATGGGAAAATTATAGGGACTTATAATTAAATGTCATTTCTTTATTAAGCAAGAATTTTCAGAAGAAAAAGAGGAGACCATAACACACCTTGGATACTGCTTGTAGAAGTTCATCATGCATTCTTTCTTCCTCTTCTGGGTGACTCACCTGGAGAAAGGTAAAATTGGGATAGTAAAGAGTAACTGTGAGACAACAGGTTTTTCTTGGTACCCAAATTAGTCAAGGAAGACGTCCTCCCCAGCTCCATCACCCACGACACACGAGGAATGGAGATCAGAGGAGAATGGGGCAACCTGTCCTATTCCAGTGGCTCAGGGGAAAGGCTCTGTTCACTGCTGTCCAGGGTTGGAATCTGATCAGACCTCAAAAAAGGTTTCCTAGAGACAGAGTTCTGAAGTCACAATCGCACAGTTGACAGGACCCTATATTCATACACAGAATGCCACATACATTTAGGGACAGTCATACTTAAGGCGACACGCACTTCTCACCAGCACACACGGAGCCACACGTGGCAACACAATTACAATTACATACACACCATGGGAAACACACAATAACAGCTGCACAGTCGGAGGCACCCCACACTGTCGCAGAGTCACAGTCACACACCACCACGGGAACACAGCCACCACCCCTGCAGTGACCGGTATCCCATATCCGCACATAAGCCGCAGTGTCATTAGTTCCCAGACAATTCCACAACCTCCCTTTTTCAGGTCGCTCGGTCCGCACAGGGCCAAGGCGCCAGCTCCCCATTGGCCTTCGGTATCCTCACCTAAGCTCTTGCAGACCTGAGCCAGTTTCTCTCGCGGACCAAAATATACCACCTCCAAGATCTAAGGGTCCCGCCAGGCGTGACGAAACGTTCGAATTTCTGCGAGAAAAGTGAACGGCCACCAGGCCCTCTGGGAAATGTAGTCCAGCGCGGGACCCACGCCGATTCCTGTCTGCCCCTCGCCCGGGCCCACCCGAAACGGCTGCTCTGGCAACTCTCAGCATCCAGCCGAGTTCCAGAGTTGCAGGTCGCCGTAGCGCTGCGCAATGGAGCTGAGTCTTCCGGGGAACCTGGCCCACGCCTCACCTTCACACAGGAAACGCACGTGCGTTCTGGACGGAAGTTGAGTGAGGCCGCGGGGCCTGCTGGGAGGTGTTGTCCTCAGAAATGTCGCGGGCGCGAAGGGATGGTTTGGAGTTGTAGGCTTCTGTTCCGGACCTGTCTGCGGGTCGCCTTCAACCAGCATCTCAGAAACTGCGCGCTGGCTGGGCATTCGGGCGTTTCCGGCAGACGACGCTGCCGAGTCCCCGCACCGCGGGGCGAGCGGGGGACTCGAACGGTCTGGACTGCACCAGCCGTAGGCGGCTGACGGGACACGGCGCCTCTTAGGCCCAGAGTGTCCCGGGTAGCCGCAGGGGGAGTGCTCAGAGTACGCTCCTGGTGAGTGGTTCAGATGTTGGGACAAAAAACTGTGATGAGAGTTAGTGTGGGGTTGTGGTTGTATGTTTGAGTGTGACGGCACGAATAATTGTGATGGGTGATTGTGATGTTTGGTTGCGCGTGAATATGATGAAATGTGTGATGTGTGTGATTGTGATTAAGGCTGTGGTGAGTGTGAGCGTGGCGAAGTGTGCGTGATTTTAATGTCTAGTAGTTCTTGTCTTGAGTTGCTTCTCTGTAGCATTTAACATACTTGGTAATGGCTTGAAAAACACTTGTTTTCTACTCTTTCTCCCTCCCTGTTGTCCACTCCTCTGTAGTCTCCTTTGCTGCCTTTTTTTACCTTAACAGTCCTTGGCCCTTTGTAGTTTTCCAGTTTTCCTTGGTAAACTTTTCAGGTTCATTATCATCTTATGACTTGCTGCTTTTATGTGTATTAGTTAGCTATTGCCGTGATAGTAACTATGTCTAAAAACCACCCCTAAACTCAATGCCATACAACAGCAAGTCCTTATTCTCATGTTCACAGGCTTGCACAATCGCTGTGTGCAGCTAATCTAGGCAGGGCTTGGCTGAGTGTGTGGGCTGCCCGACAAATTAAGATCTGCTCCACAGGTGTTCTTTCTGGGTCTCAGGCCAAAAGGACATTTGCTGCCAGGGCATTTTCTGCTCATGATGGGTCACCAGAGTACAAGAGAGATGGCCTTAACCAGAACAAGTCACATGATTAAGCTTATTAAATTATGCCCACAGTTGGAGGACAAAGTTACACTGCAAAGAGTATGAATGTATAACCTATTAGAGGGGGTGAGGAATTGCACTAAAATTCCAATCTACCTCCTTAAGAAACATGCCTCTTTATTCTGGTGAATGCCTTTTAATCCCGGTTCTCTTTTGTCTGATAATATTGCTTTTCAGGTTTTATTGTATTTGTCAAGAATTTTATTTTCTAACCCCTTTATGTCTTTATGTTTCAGATCTGTTTTTTGTAAAGAGCGTATTGCTGGCCTTACGTCCGTTAATTTTGATGGACTGTTATTTTAATAGGTGAGTATAATTCAGTGGCATTTATCATGATTTGCTGATAAAAAATGTTTTATTTCCTATTTATTATGCCTTAAACATTTTGTGATTGATATATAATAGTTGCACATATATATTTTTATTGTGCAGATTCACCTTATCCCTTTTTCTCCCCTAGTTTGGTTTCTGCTAATATCCTTTTATTTTTAATATGCAGACTTAACCTTAAATAAGATCTTAAAATACTCGAACTCCAAACTATCCACCAATTTCTGTGTTATTCTTGTCTGATATATTACTTTCTTCTAGTTTTAAATCCCCAAATTAGTAATAGTAGCTCATTTATTCTATATACTGTTCATATCTGGGAGGGATTGGTTTCAGGATCCCCCCCCTCCACCATGGATACCAGAATCCACAGATGCTCAAGTCCCTACATCCTTTTGTATACATTAAATCAACTCTGGATTATTTGTAATACCTAATACAATGTAAATGCTATGTAAATCGCTGTTACACTGTATTGTTTAGGGAATAAAAAGAAAAAAATCTATACATGTTCAGTGCAGACACAACTATAGTAGGCCTAGCTATATTTTTTATCTGAGGTTGATTGAATCTGAGGATGCAGAACCTGTGGATAAGGAAGGCCAACTGTATACATAGATCTATTTAATTGTGGTAAAATATAGGACATAGAATTTACCATCTAAACCATATTTAAGTGTACAGTTCAGTGGCTTGAAGTACATTCACATTGTTCTGGTACCATCACCACGATCCATCCACAGAACTCTTCTTGAAAACAGAAACCCAGCACCTATCAAACAATAACTCTCTACTCCCCTTCCCCCCCGCCTCTGGCATCTACCATTCTACTTTCTGTCTCTGAATTTGATTATTCTAGGTACCTCATGTAAGCAGAATCATATGTTGTTTGTCCTATTGTGACCCTTCTTTAACTTAGTGTAATGTCCTCAAGATTCATCCATGTTAGCATGTATAGGAATTTCCTGTCTTTTTAAGGCCAGATAATAAGTATGTCATATATGGATAAACATTTTATTTATCAGTTTATTCATCATTGAACACTTGGACTGCTTCTGCCTTTTGGCAATTGTAAGTGACACTGTTAGAAACATGAGTACACAACTATCTGAGTCCCCACTTTGAATTTTATATATATGTATGTATATACACACACATACACATGCATACATACACATGCATTAATGTCTGTTTTTAATTTTTGATTGTCATAGTGTTTTTGATAATGGCTGAACCATTTTATCAGTATATGTTTTGAGCACCTACTATCAATATCAAAAACAGACAAAAATAAGTCCTTGTTTTCATGGAATTTATATTGTGGGGGTGGATGGACAGTATATATACCTAAATTATAGTCATGTGCCATATATGTACGGACTATATATATATACGACAGTGGTCCTATAAGACAATGGTCCCCAGCCTTTTTGGCACAGCGACTGGTTTTGTGGAAGACAATTTTTCCATGGACCAGGGGATGGCAGGGTTATGGTTTCAGGATGAAACTGTTGCACCTCAAATCATCAGGCATTGGATTCTCATAAGGAGCGAGCAATCTATATCCCTCACATGCACAGTTCAAAAGAGTGTTCACACTCCTAAGTGTCTAATCCGAAACCTGATGTGATAGGAGGTGGAGCTCAGGTGGTAATGCTTGCTCACCTGCTGCTCACCTCCTGCTGTGTGGCCTGGTTCCTAATAGGCCACAGACTGGTACCAGTACGTTGTGGGGTTGAGGACCCCCACTGTAAGATTATATTGGAGCTGAAAAATTCCTGTCACCTAGTGACTTTCTAGCCAATATAACATTGTAGCACAATACCATTACTCATGTGTTTGCAGTGATGCTGGTGTAAACAAACCTATTCTGCTGCCAGTTATATAAAAGTATAACAGATAAAATTATGTACAGTACATAAGGCTTGTAATCATAATAAATATGTTACTGGTTTATGTACCAACTGTACGATACTTTTTATCATTCCTTTGGAGCATATGCCTATTTATTAAAAAAAAAAAAAAAAAAACTAAAACAGCCTCAGGTCCTTCAGGAGGTATACCAGAGGAAGGCGTTGTTGTCATAGGATGTGACAGCTTTGTGTGTGTTATTGTCCCTGACGATCTTCCAGTGGGGCCAGATGTGGAGGCGAAAGACAGTGATACCATCCCGGACACTGTGTAGGCCTAGGCTAATGTGTGTTTTTGTCTTAGTTTTTAACAAGAAAGTTTAAAAAGTTTAAAAAAAATGTTTTAAGATAGCTTATAAACTAAGGACATAAAGAAAGAAAATACTTTTGTACAGCTGTACAGTGCATTTTAAGCTATGTGCTATTACAAGAGTCAAAAAGTTTTTAAAAATTGAAAAGCTTATAAAGTAAAAAAGTTACAGTAAGCTAAGGCTAATTGAACAGTTTGAAGAAATAAAAATAATTTTTATAAATTGAGTGTAGTCTAAGTGTACAGTGTTTATAAAGTCTACGCTAGTGTACAGTAATGCCCTAGGCTTTGCATTCACACGCCACACACTCACTCAGAGCAACTTCCAGTCCTGCAAGCTTCATTCATGGTAAGTATCCTTTACCCTTGTACTATTTTTTATCTTTTATACTGTATTTTTAGCATTTCTTTCCTGTGTTTAGGTATGTTTAGATATACAAATGCTTATCTTTGTATTGCAGTTGTCTACAGTATTCAGTACAGTAACATGCCATATAGATTTGTAACTTAGGAGCAGTAGGCTATACTATATAGCATGTGTGGGTGGTAGGCTATACCATCCACATTTGTGTAAGTACACCCTTATATTTGCACAATGACGAAATTGTCTAATGATACATTTCTCAGAGCATGTCTCTGTTGTTAGATGATTCATGACTGTATGTATTAATGGTTTGTTAGAAAGTGATCACTGTCTGGCTCACGCCTGTAATCCCAGCACTTTGGGAGGTCGAGGCGGGTGGATCACGAGGTCAAGAGATCGAGACCATCCTGGTCAACATGGTGAAACCCTGTCTCTACTAAAAATACAAAAAATTAGCTGGGCATGGTGGCGCGTGCCTGTAATCCCAGCTACTCAGGAGGCTGAGGCAGGAGAATTGCCTGAACCCAGGAGGCGGAGGTTGCGGTGAGCCGAGATCACGCCATTGCACTTCAGCCTGGGTAACAAGAGCAAAACTTCATCTTAAAAAAAAAAAAAAAGTGATGACTGTCGTGAAACAAATAGCATGTGAGGGGTGTTAGGAGAATATCTCAAGCATAGCACTTCTCAAAACTTACTATAATTGAATGTTTTCTGTTTTATTATATCTGTTCTATCATACAGGGCAAAAATTAGTCTATTTTGTTACATATCTTTTTTTTTTTTTTTTAAGATGGAGTTTTGCTCTTGTTACCCAGGCTGGAGTACAATGGCGCGATCTCGGCTCACCGCAACCTCCGCCTCCTGGGTTCAGGCAATTCTCCTGCCTCAGCCTCCTGAGTAGCTGGGATTACAGGCACGTGCCACCATGCCCAGCTAATTTTTTGTAGTTTTAGTAGAGACGGGGTTTCACCGTGTTGACCAGTATGGTCTCAATCTCTTGACCTCGTGATCCACCCGCCTCGGCCTCCCAAAGTGCTGGGATTACAGGCGTGAGCCACCGTGCCCGGCCATATCTTTTTTTTTTTTTTTTTACCCTTTATCTAGACTCATAGCAGCTGCTAAATTTGTATATCTTAATAGTCATTTCATATATTCATTCAATATTATTGTGACATGAGTATAATTGTCATTTCAAATGAAGTCTTGGAATTCTAAATTGCAATTCTCCCTTAACTCAATTGCCAAAATAATGCAAAAATGAAATGGGATAGGTGGACTTTGAATGAAACTCTCTTTTATGCCAAATTTGGGGTTGCTGCAAATCTGGGTGTTTTTTGACTCAGGTTTATATCTGTCACCTCATCAAGCATACACCTTTAGACAGGAGACCTCTCCCTAGGGATGGTTGAGTGTCATTATGGTAAAGCAGCTGGCTTCCCTCAAAGTACCTGATCCAAATGTGCAAGACAGAGCCCTAATGTCTTTTATAACCTAACCTTGGAAGTCACACGCCATAATTTCTGCAATATCCTATTGGTTATGCAGGTCAAAGCTACTCAGTGTGGGAGGGATCTATAAAGACATAAATACCAGAAGACAGTGATCATTGGGGGCCATTTGGAAGCTGGTTATTACAGGGAGCCATTGAGAAGGCACTGGGTAAATCAAGATTTATATCCTAATCCATAGGTCCTGGCTCCACAAGGATAAAACACACCTGAAGTGCAAATAGAAGTCTGAGGAACAGCTGTCTATCATGGAAGGAGACCTCCTGACCTAAGACCTGCCTTAGAGGCTAGAGAGTCCTGGAAGAGAGTGGATCCTGGAGTTGCTGGAGCCTGTCTTGACCCTTCTGCCCTGAGCAGGCAAGGTCTGAATGACATCTCAACCTTCAGTGATCAGCAATAGCTCTGTAACAATGGAGCGTTTGGCTGACATGATGGAAAGGAAAGGTGAGGTGGCTCAGACGTGGACAGAGCTCAGGAGAGAGAGGCTGTACATTTGGGGACAGTGAAAAAGGAAATTCATTACTCCTACTGAGAAAGGTCATGTGTGTGTTAATTGACTATGCAGGAGAGACATTTGCTTTTTATCCTACTCATTTGATTATTTGATTTTTTAAAATAAATTTTGAAATGCAATTTTTAATTCTTTTAAAGGGTATATTTAAATGTATTTTTAAACACTGTACTATAACATAAAAAAAAGCTTCCTATTCCATCCCTCATCCCTGTTTCCATTCCTGAAAGACAACTGCTTTCAACACTTTGTCTCAATATTCTGGTATTCACCTGCTTTTTTCTAAATGACATTCCTATACTGCCAATGCCTGATTTCTCAGTTTTAGATATTTCCTGTTGATTTTTGATAATGGAGTTAAGGATTTAGCTCTCTTTCACTACCTAATCCCTTCTTTTTCACCACTACCCCAACATACTCTTCTCCTTGCCCTTCTTTCTAATATGGTATTTTTTGGAGATTGAAGGTTGACCAGATGTCAGGATCTGTAAGTATTTTCCCAATCTAGTCAATGTCCCCAGCAAGAAGTCCTAGATTTTGCTTGAGGAATACAAGCCAGAACTCCTGCTTTTTGGGACACAAACAAAGGAAGTGGGCATATTGGGCACCTCATCTTGCAATATGAGAAGTTTTATTTAATTCTTTTCTCTCTGCATTGCTTCAACCCCACCTTAATCTGGATCTGTTATGCCTGAAATCCAGAGCTTGTCTCATTCAGTGTATCTAGAGAAAAAAAATCTTTAATTTTTTCTGTTGCCAATGTGAGGTAAATGTCACTATGCCGTGTTGGGTGAAAGAAGACATCAGGTGGTCTTAACATCTTTTTATGATATCTTACGTTTGGTTTTCTGTTTTTCAGCCCTACTTCAGTAGAATTAATTAGCTCCATTTCTGAACCTTTCTAGGGTCCTGCCATGGCTTCCCTACCCTCCTCCCACCCTCATTTAAGCTTCAGCTTTCTCTGATTAAGTTAGATACCACTTATTTGTCTGCTCTCTAGCTTCCCACATTTTGTTGACAGCTCTTATCAGTGAAAGTCTTCTATGTTCTTTGTCCTTAAAAGTTTTAGCCTCCTTTTTTCCTTTATTAACACTATGATTAGTTTGGAAGAGAGTGAAAATATTAATAAATACAGGTATTCAGTCTTTCATTTTTAACCAAAAGGTCCTGAATTCTTAAGGGTAAAAACTAAATCAAGTTTTTAAAAAATGTCATTAGAATCATGACTATATTTCATTTTATCCTATGAAGTTCCACATTACCTATAGCCAGTCTCTGAGGAAGGTTTTTTTTCTAAATTCTTTTTTTTACTGGGGGGAGGGTGGAGTCTCACTGTCCCCCAGGCTAGAGTGTAGTGGCAAGATCTCAGCTCCCTGCAACCTCCGCCTCCCAGGTTCAAGTAATTCTCGGGTTCAGGTGACTCTCCTGCCTCAGCCTCCCGAATAGCTGGGACTACAGGCATGCACCACCATGCCCAGGTAATTTTTGTATTTTTAGTAGAGACAAGTTTTCACCGTATTGGCCAGGCTGGTCTCAAACTTCTAACCTCATGATCTGCCCGCCTTGGCCTCTCAAAGTGCTGCAATTACAGGCATAATCCTCTATCATGGTTATAGAGTTGTACATAACAGCCTCAAAATTCTTTTAAACTAGGGACTGGGCACTGTGGCTCATGCCTGTAATCCTAGCACTTTGGGAGGCCAAGGCGGGTGGATCACCTGAGGTCAGGAGTTTGAGACCAGCCTGGCCAACATGATGAAACCTCATCTCTACTAAAAATACAAAAAATTAGCCAGGCGTGGTGGCAGGTGCCTGTAATCCCAACTACTCAGGAGGTTGAGGCAGGAGAATGGCTTGAAACTGGCAGGCAGAGGTTGCAGTGAGCGGAGGTCAGGCTGCTGTACCTTCCAGCCTGGATGACAGAGAGAGACTCCATCTCAAAAAAATAAGTCATTTTAAAGGTCATCCTAATATTTAAATTTTTGGAGTATCTTTATTTTTTTATTTTTTTATTTTTTTTTGAGACGGAGTGTCACTCTTGTTGCCCAGGCTGGAGTACAATGGCGCGATCTCGGCTCACCGCAACCTCCGCCTCCCGGGTTCAGGCAATTCTCCTGCCTCAGCTTCCTGAGTAGCTGGGATTACAGGCACGCGCCACCATGCCCAGCTAATGTTTTGTATTTTTAGTAGAGACGGGGTTTCACCATGTTGACCAGGATGGTCTCGATCTCTTGACCTCGTGATCCACCCGCCTCGGCCTCCCAAAGTGCTGGGATTACAGGCGTGAGCCACCGCGCCCAGCCTTGGAGTATCTATTATTATGTACTTTTTTTTTGTTTTTTGAGATGGAGTCTTGCACTATTGCCTGGGCTATAGTGCAGTGGCGTGATTTCCGGCTCACTGCAACCTCCGCTTCCAGGATTCGAGCAATTCTCCTGCCTCAGCCTCCCAAGTAGCTGCGATTACAGGCGCCCGTCACCACACCCAGCTAATTTTTTCTACTTTTTTTTAGTGAAGACGGGGTTTCACTATGTTGGCCAGGATGGTCTCAAACTCCTGACCTCGTGATCTGCCTGCCTTGGCCTCCCAAAGTGCTGGGATTACAGGCGTGAGCCACTGCACCCGGCCTATTATTATGTGCTTAAGATAAACCTCCTATTCAAAATAAACAGCAAGATTCTAGAGAGATAAAATATTGACAATAGATTCATTGTGCACTGTATATTTAGCCCTGCAGAAATCCCCATCAGACCCCATATGATTAAATTAGCCATCCATGTCCATTTCAATGTCTCTGTAGCTAGATGGCCATTAACATTTCTCATTTCTTCAAGGAGCATTCGTCTGTAGAGGGTCTTATAGCCACCTGGAACTGAAGATTTGTGTATTTCTTTGTCTGAAACTTTGAAGCTAATCAGTTTTGTTTCTCTTCCCTCAGCTTGGTGTTCTCAGGAGTCTGCCCTTTCTGAGGAAGAAGAGGATACAACCAGGTCTCTTGTACGTCTTAAGCATTTATTTTGTTTCTTGTATTATTTTGCAGTGCAGTTACAGTAGGTTATTGTAACCTACCAATATGTTGGAAACAATAAATTGATGAAAATCAAAGTGAGAAAAAAAATACAGATAGAAAGTCAGAACCAGAGGAAATTTGAGATATGGCCATGCAGAAGCAGGTACATACAGGATTATTAAAGTTGAGTTCAAATTTAAATATGATCTGGAGAGTCAAAGCAAACTGGGAAACTTAAGTTTATTACATAAGTTGTACAATTTATGAAGAAAAAAACTTAATTATTTAAGTAAAGAAAAAGCATTTCATTGGCACCTTGGTCAAAAAGAAACTCTAAAACATAGTTGGACTTCTGTATCTGTAGATTCTGCATCCGTAGATTCAACAAACTGCAAATCAAAAATACTAAAAAAAAATGGATGGTTGCATCTGTACTGAACATGTACAGACTTTTTGCTTGTCATTTTCTAAACAATATACTGTAACAACTATTTACATAGAATTCACATTAGGTTTTATAAGTAATCTAAGAATGATTTAAAGTATACAGGAGGATGTACATTGGTTATGTGCAAATACTACACCATTTTATATAAGGGACTTGAACATCTGTGGATTTTGGTATCCATGGAGGGTCCTGGAACCAATTCTCTATGGTTTTCTAGGGACAACTGTAATTCCTTAATTCTTACAATTTTTAGCTCAGCTTTTAAAAGTCGGTCTTGGCCAAAGTTCAAAAATTAAAATTATTTGGAAGAATAAGTGGAACACATATCTTTCAAATGATTCTACATACATATTTCCTTCAATTGAGTTCTTAATCCAAGTTGAGCTGAATTGTACTAACATTCTATGGCAAAGTCTTCTAGTTCTGATATCCATAGCTTTTCACATCTTTTTTATGGTCTCAGAAGATACAGTCTTCATCTTCATTTTACAAATTTTCATATTCTCCTCTGCTCTTGCTTCTTTTTATTTCCACCTCTGAAGTCACTCACACTCCTATATTTTGAATGTTTTCCATTTAACTGCCCCTTTTCCACAGCTTACGTCTTTCCCATCATGAAACATATGCACATACTTCTTTTGACCATATGAGCGTATGCCTCATTTAGTTACTTCTGCTGTGGTGTGGTGGCCCTAGGCAAACCTCTCTGGCCCTAAACAGGCTTGGGTTTAAATCTTGGCTCCTTGACTTATGAAGTGCATGACTGTGGACAAGTTTCCTAATCTTTTCATGACTCAGTTGCATCATCTGTACTTCTGTAAATGGGGATAATAATGGTATTTATCCCATAGGAAGGTTGGGAGTGTTAAATACATGTAACAAGTGCCCCATAAATGATAGGTATTGTTATTTTTTCCTCAAATATTTTTGATCTGCCATTGGTTGAAGCCATGGATATTGAACCCACAGATATGGAGGACCAAAGTTATAGTTTTATTAAGTGCTTACCATGTGCCAGGTGTATTATGCTTTACATAGCTTATTTTATGTAATTATCAGAAGTCTATGAAGTACCTGTTATTTAATTTTTTTTAGATAAGGGAAATGAAGCACAGAGGTTAAGAAGCTTACATAACATCATGCATCAGTGTGTCATAAACCCAGGATTCAAATCCATGCAGTCTGACTCTAGGGCCCACACCCTATGATACTGTCCAGATGGAGGCTCATTATGAGTGAAGAAATACAAAAGCCAATTACCCATGCATATTGTTTGTCTATTTTATAATGTTAGTTTTTTCTCTATTTGAAATTAGAATATGTTAGGAATACCTGCTTCAGTATTAGGACTTAGGATTTATGCAGCTACCTTCTCCCGATCTGTCACTTTTATCATTTATTTTTTGTTGTATAGACACTTAAGTCTGGATAGTTACATTTAGTGTATGATAAATATGTATATATAATAGAATTCAGTCAAATTATACATTTAATATTTAATAGTCTTTTGTTCATGAGTTGCCAATGTTGATCTTTTCTAAGATATCTTTCCTAACATTAGACCGTAGAGATAATCTCTGTTGAAAGCTTTGTTTTCCATATTTAGTCTTTTTTTTTTTTTTTTTTTTTTTTTAGACGGAGTTTCGCTCTTGTTACCCAGGCTGGAGTGCAATGGCGTGATCTCGGCTCACCGCAACCTCCGCCTCCTGGGTTCAGGCAATTCTCCTGCCTCAGCCTCCTCAGTAGCTGGGATTACAGGCACGCGCCACCATGCCCAGCTAATTTTTTGTATTTTTAGTAGAGACGGGGTTTCACCATGTTGACCAGGATGGTCTCGATCTCTTGACCTCGTGATCCACCCGCCTCGGCCTCCCAAAGTGCTGGGATTACAGGCTTGAGCCACCGCGCCCGGCCCCCATATTTAGTCTTTAATCCAACTGGATTATAATATAGTAATTGATTTGAGATAGGAATTTGCTGATAATTCTATTAGTAGAATTATCTTTGCACTTAGAGGAGCAGTTGTTCCAACACGTTTATTAAATAGATCCTTCTTTTGTGATGCCACCTTTACTGTATACATACATGATTGTTTCTTTTGTGATGCCACCTTTACTGTATACATACATGATTGTTTCTAAGCTTTTACTCTTTTGCTTTAATCTGTTTGTCAATGTTCGTATCAGTACTGTATTTTGTGTGTATGCTTTACATTGTTTTAATTACTGTTACTTTGTAATAATCATTATATATGGGCAATGATTTCACCACTTATTTACGTGTACACATTATTCTTAGTTTTTCAAAAATTTCTCAGCTACTTTGGGACCTCTGGGCTTCCATTTGAATCTTAGAATTAGTTTATCTAGTTCTAGGAAGAAATCCTATTGGGGATTTTCACTGGAATAGTGCAGACTAATTGGAGAAGAATTGAAAAAAATATTTTTATAGACACACACACACACACACACACACACACACACATTTTTTGTATGTATGTAAATATATACATATTTTTGTATACATTTGTATACATATACATTTGTCTCTTGTTTTATTCCTGATTTTAATATTTCGAGTCTTCTCTCTTTTCTTTCTCAGTCATATTGTCCATTTTGTCAATTTTTAGTTTTATTGATTCTAATGTATTTCTATTCTGAATTTCTTTGATTTCCATTCTAATGTTTGTTTATTTCCTTTTGGTTACTTTGGATTTAGTTTGATCATCATCTTAGTACCTTTTTGTTTTAATTGAGGCAGAGTCTCACTCTGTCAACCAGGCCGAAGTGCAGTGGCATGATCATGCTTGATTTCCCAGGCTCAGGTGATCCTGCCACCTCAGCCCCATTCCCCAACCTCCCAGTAGCCAAGACTGTAGGAACACACCACCACCATGCCCAACTAAGTTTTTGTATTTTTTGTAGAGATGGGGTTTCATCATATTGCCCAGGCTGGCCTTGAACTCTGGGCTCAAGCAATCTGCCTGCCTTCTAGTTTTTTGGTTGTTTTTTTTTTTTTTTTTTTTTGAGACGTAGTTTCACTCTTATTGCCCAGGCTGGAGTGCCTGTAATCCCAGCTACTTGGGAGGCTAAGGCATGAGAATCACTTGAACCCGGGAGGTGCAGGGTACAGTGAACTGAGATGGTGCCACTGTACTCCAGCCTGGGCAGATTATAAGCAAGAAAATAGAAGACTCAAAGACCATACACCAACCAGACCTAACAGATATCTATATAACACATTGTTCAACAGAATCCACATTCTTCTCAAGTTTATATAGAGCACGCTCCAAGATAGAAAATATTTTAGTCTACAATAGAAGGCTTAATAGGCCTACTACACAGGAGGCTGAGGCAAGAGGGTCACTTGAACCCTTGAGGTTAAGGCTATAGTGAACTATTATAATCATGCTTGTGAAGAGCTACTCCTAAGGTAGGAGAATTGTTTGAGCCCAAGAGTTTGAGGCTGCAATGAGCCCTGATACCACCAGCCTGGGCAACAGAGTGAGACTCTATCTCTTACAAAAAATAAAATAAAACTAATAAATAAATACCAAGAATTACCACCTTCTCTTAATTGCTCACCACCAAAATCTCCATTGTTTCTGAGTGTGCCCTTAAACTTAAACTTTGCCGTAACCCTGTTGCAGATAAATTTATTTCCTTGTCTCTTCACATTTGTCAAGCCTAAAATAAAAATAATACAATTATTCAAATTTAGGATTTAAAAAGAACATGTAATAAAAAAAATAGAATAAGTTTTTAAAAGTTGAGAAGAAAAAAAAAAACAAAAATAAAAAGTTGAGAGGAGTTCCACTTCTAGGATAGCAATGTAAAGTATTCCATGGACCTAATCCCCAGTAAAACATGCATAACTGGTGAGAAGCATTTAAACCTGCAGATTGTGGCTGAAATGCCATGGACTGTTATAGTTTCTTTTTGTTTTGTTTTTTTTTTTCAAAGTTTTAGTTGTTTATTATTATTATTATTAAATGGTTCTTTTATTTGCTATATGCCTTTAGGACAATTTCCAGAAATTTTAATCTTTAAAAATTTTTACCAGTGTTTATATTAAACTTATCAAGGTATTCTTACCTTTTAAAAGGATGATAATAGTAGCTACTTTATAGCCTTATTAGGAGAATTTTAAAAGCTAGTATAACAAAATATATCATTGCCTAGCATGTAACAAGTAGTCAGTAGATGACAATGATGATAACATTAATGATAGCAATGATCTCAACATCTTAGAGATCATTTCTCAGAAACATTAATTGAAATACAGCCTTTGGGCAGGGTGTGATGGCTCACACTTGAAATCCCAGCACTTTGGGAAGCTGAGGTGGGCAGATTACCTGAGGCCAGGAGTTCCAAGACTACGCTGGCCAACATGGTGAAACTCTGTCTCTATTAAAAATACAAAAATTAGCCAGGTGTGGTGGTGGGCGCCTGTAATCCCAGCTACTTGGGAGGCTGCAGCAAGAGAATTGCTTGAACTCGGGAGGTGGAGGTTGCAGTGAGCCAGGATCGCACGACTGCACTCTAGCTTGGGCAACAGAGCGAGACTCTGTCTGGGAAAGAAGAAGAAAGAAAGAAATTCAGCCTGTGGAGATTTCCATTTGTATTTCCCATTTTATCTTGTCCCATTTGTACTATTTCTTGGATAAATTCCCCTAAGTGTGGGATATGCAGATGCTTTTTTTTCCCCCTAGAGAATCTTTGCAGTTAAAACGTTTTTCTTTATTTCCTTATTTGGATATATAATTTTTTTAATGGGAAGGGCTAGATACTATTGATCAAATCACATTCTTTTTTAGAAATTTGGCATTTGTTTGTTGGCTTCTGTTATATCATTCTCATAGATTTAATTCCCATCCTAATGTCCATCGATGATAGACTGGACAGGGAAAATTTGGCACATATACACCATGGAATATTATGCAGCCATCAAAAACGATGAGTTCGTGTCCTTTGTAGGGACATGGATGAACCTGGAAACCATCATTCTCAGCAAACTGACACAAGAACAGAAAATCAAACATCGCATGTTCTCACTCATAGGCGGGTGTTGAACAATGAGAACACATGGACACAGGGAGGGGAGCATCACACACTGGGGTCTTTTGTGGGGAAATAGGGGAGGGACAGCAGGGGTTGGGGAGTTGGGGAGAGATAGCATGGGGAGAAATGCCAGATATAGATGAAGGGGAGGAAGGCAGCAAATCACACTGCCATGTGTGTACCTATGCAACAATCTTGCATGTTCTTCACATGTACCCCAAAACCTAAAATGCAATTTAAAAAAATAATAAAATTAAATTAAATTTTTAAAAATAATAAAAATAATAGAACAAACAAAAGACTGAAACCTGAGTGCCTTTCTTTGATGGTAAACTATTGACTCTGTCCTTAGCTGTATTACCCACCATGTATATTTTCTACAGGTGCTCACATCCTTCAGCCGTGGATTCAGCTCCCAATTTTAGGTTGATGACTAAAAAATTTTTCATCTCCTTTCTTATATCTAACTCCATAGTGAATATTTCCATCTGAAAGTCCAATAGCAAGCTTCTCCAACCTGCAGCCAGTAGGCCACATGCCTCCTAGGACAGCTTTGAATGTAGCCCAACACAAATTTTTAAGCTTTCTTAAAACATTATGAGATTTTTTTGTGTGATTTTTTTTTTTTTTTTTTTTTTTTTTTTAGCTCATCAGCTGCTGTTAGTGTTAGTGTATTTTATGTATGGTCCAAGGAAGCCAAAAGATTGGATACCCTGTCCTACAGGAATTTTGTGCTTTGCATGTTCAAATTTTCATGCCTCTCCTCCCTCCTCTTGCCTTATTTCTCTTACCTCTCTACTCTCTGCCATGTTCCCTTTCTCCCTAGATCACATAAACATCTGGACAGGTTCTGAGCTAGTTACCCATGAGTCATGTTCAATTCTTCCATCTCTGTCACAGCCCAGTAAAAATCAGTGACCACTGTCTCTAGCTTCCTGCATAAGAGATGATGAATGAATAAGTTTGCTGACTCAATAACTAACATACCCTTCAAGGATATTTCTGCTATGCTATATTTTCCCTACAATATAATGTTAAATTAAGTAAATATGAAGACCCAATAAGATTTTTAGTGACCTCTGACCTCTGAGTAGCTAAACAAGTTCTTACTGTTTTGATCACAGTGCCTAATTTTGACTTCAAATGAATTAGCGTTATGTTTTTACAGGAAACAGTGACATTTAAGGATGTGGCTGTTGACCTTACCCAGGAGGAATGGGAGCAAATGAAACCTGCTCAAAGGAACTTGTATCGGGATGTGATGCTGGAGAACTACAGCAATCTAGTCACAGTGGGTAAGGTAGCTCGGTAGCTTTGCAATTTAACAGATAACTCTTTTCCATTTCTGAAATGTGTGAAGACTGTAACTTGCCAGATGAGTCTGGCCTTTTCTTTCTCCACATGAGTGTATGTATTCCACTCTTCAGTGTTAAAGGCTAATTACTTTGTGTCATTGTGTAAGTTCATTCATCATCATCTTTCATAAACTTTCATGCTTGGACTTAGCCCAGGATCTGGATGGTTGTCTCCAGCATTAACATCCAAGTCCTTTGCTCTTTCTTGTAATAGGCTGTCAAGTCACCAAACCGGATGTGATATTCAAGTTGGAGCAAGAAGAGGAGCCCTGGGTGATGGAGGACGAAATGTTTGGGAGGCATTGTCCAGGTGAATAAGTGAAAAGCAGCTCTGAATGAGAAAGCCACATGAGAGTTATTCAGTGAAAGGTTGATATCACATCACAATTTCCAGGATTTTCTTAAAGGCCCTAGTCTTCTAGAGTGATAAATGGTATGGAGTACTTTAGATTACTGTGACATTTCTAGATATTATTCTTCCTATATTGCAGATATTTTCCTCTTTTAAATTGTGGAGAGCCAGTAGCCCTATCTGATTTCATAATACCAACCTTCCCTAATCATTCACAGCATTACTTTCAGGATTACCATTCCTCTCTATGATCCTTGGGCTCTTTCTTTCCTTTATGTTCATGGTTTCATTTTCTTATGCATTCAGCATTTCATTGTTGTGTAGTAATTTTAAAACATGTTTGTTTCACACTTAGGATTTTTTTTTTTTTTTCATTTCTTTCCATTTTAAAAAGCCTTAGACTTATGTTTGGTTAACAGTAGTTTCACTTCCCATTGTACTTCACAACCCTCACAATCCTGTGGCTTAGAAATGTAAAAGTTTCTGGCCGGACGCGGTGGCTCACATCTATAATCCCAGCACTTTGGGAGGCCAAGACGGGTGGATCACGAGGTCAAGAGATTGAGACCATCCTGGTCAACAAGGTGAAACCCCATCTCTACTAAAAATACAAAAAGTAGCTGGGCATGGTGGCGCACACCTGTAGTCCCAGCTACTCGGGAGGCTGAGGCAGGAGAATTGCTTGAACCCAGGAGGTGGAGGTTGCGTTGAGCCGAGATCACGCCATTGCACTCCAGCCTGGGTAACAAGAGCGAAACTCCATCTCAAAAAAAAAAAAAAGTAAAAGTTTCTGACTTAGAAATCCCATGGTATCTCCTTTCTTCTTATTTCTGCCTTCCATTCCTTTAATTTTTTGAAAATACAGGAGGTCCATATTTGGTTAAAACGAATATAACCAGTGGAACCAGTATTATGCCCCTAAAACCAATATTATACCTTTTGTGCAAAAGTAAATCTTCCTCTTATCGTTGATACAGTCTCTTCCTTTCCTCAGTTGTATGTGCTTCTTTTTTGGAGTTGTCCTGGCTATTTTTTATTATTTTACGATATGAATTTTAGATGTGGCCATCTATTTCCAGAGAAAAGCATGTTGGAATTTTTATTGCAATTGTGCTAAATACATGAATTCACTTTCAGAAGTTTATCATCCTTTTAATGCCAAGGTTTTCTGTCTAAGAACACACTCTATCCTTGTTCAGATTTTCATATCTTCTTTTGTGTCCTTTAGAAATGGAGCTTTCCAAGTCTTCCCATTGTGGCTTTTGTACATTTCACTGTAATAATGGGTAAGAAAGCTGTAAAACCATCCTTATTTACAGATAATGAGATCGTAGCCCTGGAAAACACAAGAGAACCATTGATATATATATATATATATATCAATGACCAAGTAGAAGATACTAAGGAAAGAAAGCTACATTTATTAGTAGTAAGAACAAAGATGAAATACTATTCTGTGCATGGATATATAACAGTATACCAAACAAAATCCTGTCCTTGTGAGCTTATAATTTAGTAGAAACTGGAGTCCCTGAGGTTTTGCATATAATAAAATATCTTTTTAATATTGGTTAACAGTTGATAGTTGGCCGTGTGTAAAATGCTTGAGCCGTAGTTTCTTTTCCAAACGGTTTTGTAGACAGTTACTTGAGGGATTTAGACAATTCTCTGTTGTTTCCTAGATTTGAATGTTGCTTGAAGAAGTCTGAAGCCTGATTATTTCCCCTCACAGGTGACTTATTTTCGTGGATACCTATAGGTTTCTTTTTCTTTACAGCTTAAGTGGCTTTATGAGGCTATGTCTTGGTATTGGTCAATCATTATCGGTTTTTCCTTTCAACTTGTGGATTCATGTTTTTTGCTCCTTGAAACATCGTTGTATAGATTTCATGCTGGTTTCTTTTATGGTTATCATTGTCATCTTTGCATGAAGGTATTTCCTGCTGTACCCACTATTTACAGAAGGATAGTGTTGAAGACTGTCCAGAAAAATGCTCTGAGCTGGTAATTATTTATACAACATTTTGTGTTGAGAGTTGGTTTACCCTTTCATTCTCCCAAATTAAAGAGAGATTATTATTTGCATACTTCCTCTAGAACTCAGTGTCTCTTCATCTTCCTATCCTGTAACAAACTGCTTATACAAGAATAATGGCTGTTTGTATCTCCTTGTTCAGCCCTACCTATATACCATTTATCAGGGCCAGGTGAAATCCATTGTGTTCCTGCCACAGTCTCAAGATATCTGGCAAAAAATGATTCATTCATTCTGCCCAAAAGGGGATGCCTCTGTTTTAGAGAACTCTTTTCCCTATACTGTACTTTCTGTTTGAGATAAGAAACAGAAACTGCTATCTCTGGGTTTCTTCCCTGTTTGATCCAGTCTATCCTCTGTTCATTCCTCCTATTCTGGGGATGGAGTTTAGCTATCTTTAAGTTTCACTGAAGATGTATTTTCTTTTTTTTTTTTTTTTTTTTTTGAGATGGAGCTTCGCTCTTGTTACCCAGGCTGGAGTGCAATGGCGCGATCTCGGCTCACCGCAACCTCCGCTTTCCGGGTTCAGGCAATTCTCCTGCCTCAGCCTCCTGAGTAGCTGGGATTACAGGCACGCGCCACCATGCCCAGCTAATTTTTTTGTATTTTTAGTAGAGACGGGGTTTCACCATGTTGACCAGGATGGTCTCGATCTGTTGACCTCGTGATCCACCCACCTCTGCCTCCCACAGTGCTGGGATTACAGGCTTGAGCCACCGCACCCGGCCCTGAAGATGTATTTTCTTTTCTTTCCTTTTAGACGGAGTCTTACTCTGTCACCCAGGCTGCAGTACAGTGGCACGATCTTGGCTCACTGCGACCTCCGCCTCCCGGGTTCAAGCAATTCTCCTGCCTCAGCCTCCCGAGTGGCTGGGGTCACAGGCATGCACCACCATGCTCGGCTAATTTTTATATTTTTTAGTAGAGATGGAGTTTTACCATCTCAAACTCCTGACCTCATGATCCACCCGCCTCAGCCTCCCAAAGTGCTGGGATTACAGGCTTGAGCCACCGTGCCCGGCCAGAAGATGTATTTTCTTTTTCTATTTCTTCATGTTTGCAGAGTGGAGAGGAGACATATGTTTAATTCTACCAATTGAAATAGGAAATCCTCTATTCTGTATTTGTTCCATTTCACTCTTCTTGGAAATGTCTTTCTTCTTTGGGCTTCTCTAAAGGATTCAAATTCTTCCTTGGTTCTGGTTTATTGTTTATTTCCTCTTATGAAATACCTTTTACATGACTCCTTTCTCATCTCTCACTGAACATCATCCAAAGCAGTTCTGAATAACAGTAGACTTCTTTTTCCTCTGAGTATCTTCATGCTACATCTGTGTTCATGCTATTAAATAGGTATTTAACTCTAGAAATGACAGCATTGGAATATGTATCTTTAATGCCTCCAGAATTTTGAAACTCTTCATGTCTCTGCTGTTAATTATGAATGCTGTTAACCTAAATTCTAGCAGTTATTTAAGTTTAATCTCATAGTAAATGGTCCTCAACATTTCCAGCCTACACTGGTCTTGCCCATCTCTCGACTAACATTCTATTACATGTCTTCCAGCGTGGTTGGAGTCTGAAAACATATACTGTCTTACATATATTTTCATATTTTGATGTCTACCACTTGTTTATTAGTCCATCTGGAGAAAGAAAACCTTTTATTCTTCTTACTAATGATTCACGAATTGATGTAAAGCTAAATTTGGGAAGACTTTTCTTATTTTTGGTTGTTTTAAAATTTTACCTATAGATTTTTTAAATAAATGTGGACGAAATCAGGCTAGAGTTAGAAAAACAGGGCATAGTCACTGTCTAGTGAGCTAGTGTTGAATGTTAAATTGCATGGGAAGCATCTATTTAGTAAATGAGTAAACCAGATAAAAAACACCAAAAAAGTTTTAAGAGAAGGGCTGTATTCAGGTGCAGTGTCTCATGCCTGTAATCCCGGCACTTTGGGAGGCTGAGGTGGATGGATCACGACATCAAGAATTCAAGACCAGCCTGGTCAACATAGTGAAACCCCATCTCTACTAAAAATACAAAAAAAAAGTTAGCTAGGCATGGTGGTGTGTGCCTGTAGTCCCAGCTACTTGGGAGGCTGAGGCAAGAGAATTACTTGAACCCGGGAGGTGGAGGTTACAGTGAGCTGAGATCATGCCACTGCCCTCCATCTTGGGCAGAAGCCATTTTCCTGTAAGATCTACAGATTTTTTAGACTTATTAAAAACTAAAAAACATAACAAAATATTTAGAAGTAAAATTAGCATGTCTGTTTGTGGGGTAAAATTAGAAACATGGCCTAATTGGAAGAGAGATGAATGTAAGGGATTAATGAAATCAAGGAAGAGTTTTCTGTTGTGGAGTCAGAAAGTTCTGAATTTTGCCAGCATTCACGTTTTTTTTTTTTTTTTTTTTTTTTTTTTTGCTGTCTTTTGTTTTCAAACTTTTATTGTCAATTTAGTTTAATTTTTCTCCTCTTTAGTCACTGAAGCTATAGTTTTGCCCTGTGCATGGAGGCAGCTTATAATAGAATATGAAGGTTAAAAAACATCTAGTCATCTGAATTTTAAGTTATCCACAGTTGATAGTACTCCAGAGGCGTGGAAAACCAGTCTAGAACTAATGATGTTAGAATGTTATCATTTTGGGTCATAGTATGAAAGAAAAAAGTCAAAACACAATGGGGTTTGATATAAAGACAGTTTCAGTATATAGAAATGAACATAGGATAAGATGATAGTACCTCATGTTAGAACACTATGATGAATCAAAGATGGCTTGCCTCCTGATCAGCTTCATACTTTTTATTCAATAAAATCAGACCTCCCTATTTCTAATATGTCTTGTTCTTTAAGCACATATAAAAATGAAATGTAATTAGATGGAAAGGTGGAGCTCTCTCCATATTTATTACCAG